GCCTCCGCCTCCGCCCGCCGCCCGCAAAAGAGCCGCCAGCCGCATCCTCCGCCGCCCGGGGACCAAGGCTGCGGGTCCGGCGCTCCCAAATGACGACACCGAACTCCCTCGGGCGCGCCTGGATGACGCCCGCGGACGCCCCGCCCCGCCGGAGGTGGGGCGCTTGTGACGCCACTGCGGGAGGGCGTGGCCGGCGTTCAGTCGCCCCACCGGGAGGGCGGCCGGAGGAGGAGGCGGCGGCGGCGGCGGCGGGCGCTGAGCGCTGGGCAGCCCTGGAGCGCGAGGGCGCGGCGGAGGAGCCCCCCCGGGGGGAGGGGGAGGTGAGGCTGCCCTCCGGCGCCCGCGGCCCCACGAGCCTCGCGGGGGGGAGACTGACGCGTGTCGTCCCGTGGGCAGGAGCTCGACCCCCCCCCACACCTGCCCTCCTGGTGGCCCCCCCGGAGCACTGCGATCCCCCCCCCAGGCTCCTCCCGGGACGCGGCCGCGGGGAGCAGGAAGCAGCTGGGTGACCTCGGTGCGCCCCCTGCCTCTCGGCCCGGCCCACCTCTATCTTTATCTATCTATCATCTATCTATCTATCTATTATCGTCTTGTCTATCATCTATCTATCTTATCTATCTATCATCTATCTATCTATCTATCTATCTATCTATCTATCTATCATCTATCTATCTATCTATCATCTATCTATCTATCTATCATCTATCTATCTATCTATCTATCTATCTATCATCTATCTATCTATCTATCATCTATCTATCTATCTATCATCTATCTATCTATCTATCTATCTATCTATCATCTATCTATCTATCTATCTATCATCTATCTATCTATCTATCTATCTATCTATCTATCTATCATCTATCTATCATCTATCTATCTATCTATCTATCATCTATCTATCTATCATCTATCTATCATCTATCTATCTATCTATCTATCATCGTCTGTCTGTCTATCATCTATCTTATCTATCTTATCTATCATCTATCTATCTATTATCGTCTTGTCTGTCTATCATCTATCTATCTTATCTATCTATCTATCTATCATCTATCTATCATCTATCTATCTATCTATCATCGTCTGTCTGTCTATCATCTATCTTATCTATCTTATCTATCATCTATCTATCTTATCTGTCTATCATCTATCTATCTTATCTATCTGTCTGTCTATCATCTATCTATCATCTATCTATCATCTATCTATCTATCTATCTATCATCGTCTGTCTGTCTATCATCTATCTTATCTATCATCTATCTATCTATTATCGTCTGTCTGTCTATCATCTATCTATCTTATCTATCTATCTAATCTTATCTATCTAATCTTATCTATCTATCTATCTATTCACCTGCCCACCTCAAATGGGGGGCAAAGGCCCATCGTTGTCCCCTCGGGAGACTCCCAGGATTGCATCTGAGCTTGCAAAATCCCCCTGAGTAACCTCCTCCCCCCTCCCTCCTTCCAGCCCCCCGGGATGAGCCCCTGCGAGGACGGAGACCCCCTGGCAGGGGCAGTAGCAGCTGAGCTGGATCTGGCCCAGCCCCATCAGGAGCAGGAGGAGGAGGAGAAGCCCATCCCAGAGGATGCTGACCCGGGGCAGCTGCCGCCGGTGCCTGCCGAGGAGGAAGCCGCTCTCCCCAGGGGCCACTGCCAGGCCTGGCTCCTGGCCCCGCTGGAGGACGCCCGGTTCCTCATCTGCTGCACCAACTGGTACTAGCGGCTGCCTGACCGGGCAGCACCCCGGACGGCCTTGGAAAGGCCCAGCGCCCATCCTGAGGCTCCAAGACGCGTCTCTTAACAGGCTCCAGATGGGCAGCTGTTATTAAAACACAGGCAGCGTGACTGGCTTTACTCTGCACAGGCTGCGTTTGTGCTATTTCCTTGTTTGTGGTTAACTTAATCGTAACTTCCCATATCAATTCCCAGCCACCTTCTGGCAGGGGATGGTGTTGGTTGTGTATTGGACCTGATGGTGGTTGGGTTTTTTTAGATGTAGGGGCTGATCATCCAGAGCTTTCTAAAATCACCAGGTGGAGATTTTTTTCTGCTGCTTTAATTCTGACTATATTTACACTGTGCACTTAAGCATGGCTACCTTAGCTGAATAACAGAAAATCCAACTTTATGGATTTACACATTGTGCCATGTGAGCTATAAACTCTGGGCTGGGTATGCACAAAACAAACAAAAATGCAACTGAATGTGCCTCGTGAATACAGTTAAAGTTAGGCTGAGAAATGTAAAAAATGATAGAGCAAATATTTAAGGCACATCTACTCCAAGATTGGAGTTGGAGACCTAGCCAAAGACTTTTTGTCCTGCAAAAGGACTGGTAAGAAATAACAGCAACAGGATTCTCATTTTTCTCCAAATGAGAAGAATACGCTCTATAAATATACTCTAAGCTTTATTCCGGATACTTTGAAGAATTTGAGCCTGGCATAAAAAGACTTTTCTCTCTGCATATTTATAAGTCTGAGTGGACAATGATTATAACTTCTATTATCATTGTAAGATTAACTAAGCAATGACAATGTCATAAAATATTAAAAAGATGATTAATGAAC